AAATGTCAACTGATAAGGGTAATTGTTTTATGGTTTACAGTGTGTGAAAATGTAGCCAATGGAATTGCAAATCTTACTGAAGTTGATAATTCTAGGTTGTGCTAGATCATGTTTTATCTTCATGAACTGAGAGTTCTTGGTGTAATATAGTTACAGTATACAATAAAATGCCCCTAGTCATGCTGCTGTAGTTTCTTTCTAGTTTTCTTTTGTTTTAATTGTGTTATCTGCTTGTGAGAAATGTATTTTAAGCCAAGTGTTTGGTTTAGCTCAAGGGACCTTTCTAAACAAGAAAACTATTTCCATATTTCAGTATATGTTCTCAGGCTTTTAACATAAAGCTCCTCTGCTATTGACTGATATCTGACCAATTTTCCATGTTCCTTTTTTAAAAAAGTAACAGTGAATTGCTGGTATTATTGTGTATGGACATATGATTTGGTTTTTTTCAAGTCATAAAGTTAGATAATTGTTTATATGTTTTAGAATCAAGAATATGTTTGTTTAGAGTAAGCAGGATGGTTATCCTCAAGTCCAGTAGGAGCTGAAATGAAAATTACAAACAATTCGTTTGAATTTTTTTTTTTTTTTTCATTTTTTGAAATGGAAGTTTGAAATGACAAACAGAAACGATTAAAGAAATATCACCTCTCTCTCCTCTCATCTGCTTTCAGTTTTGCTGCTCTTCACTCTACGCCAAGTTTGTTAGCAAGACTCCGTTATTGCTTTCAGGCCTCTTTTGTTTACAGGCTTGGAGCTTCCACAGTGTCACGTTCCGTGGATCTACAAATCCAAGTTCCCTTTTCTGCTGAAGAATTGCTTGTGACTTCTTTTTTCCTTCTCCTTTAGACCTATAATTAGCTTCTTGTTTGTGATAAAGCTTTTTATAATCTGACTGTTGTCATGGAATACGTGAATTTGTTCAACGTAACCCTTCTGTCTTCAAATATTAAGGTTTTTTTAAAACACCAAAGATATTTAGTATATACAAGTTAAAGTACAAATTTTGTAGCCAAATATTGTTTTGAAAACCTTTCTGAGAGATTGTTCATATAACCTTATTGGATCCTTTATTTCTAAAAAGTGCATGCTGCATATGTGTTGATTTTGCTTTTGAAATACTTCTGATTTGTTATTTCATCTCTGATTTCATCTGCTTCTTCAATTGCCCACTAGGATTCCATGTAGGAAAAGATCAAAGCTTACTGTAGCAGGTGAATTGATCAGACTGGGGCCTCTCCTTTGTGTTCGCAACAAGACTTTCTTCTTTCTGTTTCTAAAGTGCTTCGCCTCAGGTATTCATGTCCCTGTGCTGGTGCAGGTAAGTCCTTGGAATTTTGCTCACAAATTCATGTTCTGTGTATGTGTTAGTTGATTAATTCTTTGAAGTTTGCCCTTGATTTCCCAGTTTGATTTATTCTTCCTTTTCTAGTGATTTTTTTTTCTTTTTTTTAATATTCCATGCAGCTATAAATAGTCTCTGTATGTAAGAAGTCTAGTTCTGTGTCTTCCTATGTCATGCAGTTGCATTTTCTCTAAATGTCTTGCAAATACCACCCTTTTGCTAACAGTGTGAGGCAATCCTCTGGAGGGAAAAGGGGGTTTTGGGTGGGGTTTTTGGGGTCAGGAAGAATTTTTTCCAGTGTGGTTGATGCTGATGTTGCTTTTGTTTTTTTCTGCTGCAGGAACCCAGCCAGCTGGCATGGCATCATATCCTTCAGTTGGGTCACAGGTACACAATAACAGGCCTGAGTATGTCCAGACTGAAGAAATCTGGACAAAAGACGTTTGTCACTAGTGTTCCTTCCTGCCTTTTACCCTACTGTGCAGAGCATATGAGGGAGCAGCCACTGAACAGTACTTGGCAAGAAGAATCCACTCAGTCTTCTTCCCTTGAGACTGCTGAGCAGCTCAGTGGCTCCTTGGCACTGGGAGTTGAAGAGGAGAGGCCAAGATCAACCAAAGAGTCCAAGATCATCTCCTATGTGGTAAGGATTTGTAGGGTTAGCCTTCACCTGCTCATCCTATAGGGTTTCAGCTCGTGGCCTGTAAGGACTTATTTTCATCAAGAGTTTATTTCCTTAGTGCTCAGGCTTATGAGTCTCTTAGGTTTTGGAACTCTCTGTGCTCCTGTAACTTTCTGTTTGCTTGCTATTTAGGGAGTTGTCACCAAAATACTCAATGTCCAAGCGGGTCTGTTTTTACTGGATAACCAAGTCTGCTTGTGCCTTGCTTACCTGCCAGTGTTGAAATCTGCACGTGGACTCCGGCCGGGAGCATGTGTGGAAGTAAGTTGAGACTTGTGAATCATAAAGCATTTGTGGAAAAGACTCAAACCCTAGGGATGGCTTGTGAGTGTGTGGGTCAACAGAAGGCTACAGCAACACTGGAACTATGTCAGCAAGTATCTGGAATAGAATTGGGGATCTTACTGTCTAGGCTTAGTCGTTAGAGTTGAAATTACTATTATCTGATTCCTTCCTAAGCTGTGCCAGGTGCCTCAGACCTGGATTATAGACAATCCATTAGAGTGACCAAGGGTTTAGGGTGGGGTGATGGTTTTGGGGAGCGGTGGCAGACTAGCTATCTCTTATGTTTATGTCTGTGTATCTCAGCTCATCGATGTCCACCTTCTGCAGAAGCCTCTGGTATCCTTCCCTTTCATTGTACTTGGTGCTTGCCTGAGCAGCACTGTTGTGCTGAAGAGTTTCTCAAGGCTCAGCACTCCCTACCAGCCACCAGCCTCTTCAGGAAATCTGTGCTTACAGCTCCTCTTCCGCTACAATCTTGGTATACCGCTCTACCTCTGGCTGGTGAACCTCCTGGAGGCCTTTGAGGAGAGGTGAGGACAGTTCTGAAGTCAGGACATGTGTAAATGTGCTTTGTAGACTACCTGGGTGTCTTCTAGACCAAGCGTTCACAAAATTTTTATGCTTGGATACCATTAGCAGCTGGTTCTGATTTATCAGCCTGAGTAAGCTGTTCATCTAGATTTCATACGATGTCCAGTTGCTTGTACTTTGCACTTGTGAGAAAATCCTGTGCAGTTTTCAAGTGCATGTGCAATAAACCCACTACTCTCGGGAAGCTGTAGCACTCCAGGACATTGTGCCCACATAGTCCTGCCTGGGAAGTAGTCCTGAAGTACAGAAGCACTGCAGGGATGTCTGCCTGCCAGTGTGGTTTGCTTGGCAAATCAAGATGGGCACTCAGGCTGCAGCTGGAAAATGCTGCTACAACTACATCACAACCGATACAAAGGCTCTTGTGTCCTGGCTGCTCACAGAAGGGGCAGCAGCTGCTCAGCATATCCCTTTGAGGTATTCTGAGTATTGCTGGTAGTGTGATCATTTATTTGAGAGCCTGTGTCTTAGCAGATTTTCCCACCCATGCTTATCTCTGGGTCTTCCAGATGGCTTCCTGCTCTCCCTGATGGCTTCACTCTGTTTGCAGGACAGCTGTGGGCCGGTTTGTGGGTTTACTTCTGGGTTCTGTTAGTGAAAATATTGGTGTTTTTTTCTGGAACAGTTATGGTTGATCACTGTAACTGCTGTCTTGGACTTTAAAATGTATATATTTAATCTCAGTCAAGTAGCAGTTTATAGAATGTTCAGTCTTCCTGTCCTTTACTGTCACTGTGGAATTTTTACTATGCTTTCCAATAAAGCAGCTTCAGTTTTGCCCTTGGAATTGTGCTAGCTACAAGTATCAGTTTTTATTATCCTTTTCACTTTAAATGTGATTGCTAAGTCCTGCTACTGCTTGAAATTTGTTCCAGTGAGTTAATTGCTATCTCTTTTCATTTGAGTTCGCTTTCTGTTGTCAAGTCATATTTTGACTGGCAGTGTGATCACTTCCAGGCCTTCAAAAGCAGTAAGCTAAACTTCTGAAAGGAACACTATGTGAGGAAAATATTGGAACAAGACTAGTCCGTGGTTGTTTCTGACTTGTGATTTTTTGCATCCTGTAAAAGAAAGCCAAGGGTACTTGAATAATGATATCAAGCGTAGCCAAAATGCATGGAGATCCATTTTCATGACTTAGAGGGAGATTATTTTCACGTGGTTTAGTTTTTTGGCTACTTTAGTTTTGAGATTTTGTTACTCTATCCTTTTCTATATTCTATATTTTCCTAATCTATGTCTGCTTGTCCAAAAGGAATTTGCATTGGCCTTAAATGTTCTTTTTTAATTACTTGATGTTCTTTTTTTGCTCTCCTTAGTTCCTGTCCTACACGGTATTCACTCATAACAAGCAGAAAGAATCCCTGACTTACATACAAGACTCACTAAAATGTGAGGACTGCTAATGCTTTTAACACTCATAATTTCTTTTCAGGTTTTCTTGTTTTTTCGGGCACCATCGTCTGCTTAGCTGTACTCACCAAAACCCAGGAGCTGCTGAAAAGTTCCTTGTCCCCCTTCTGCAAGCTATGATGCCAGACAGAGAGGAAACAAGAGATATTTATAATGAAATTCTAGCAAAAGTACACCATTGTCCCCTGCAGAAAGTGAGTAAATGCTTTGTGAGCTGTTTGCTCTTTGTCTGATGGGAAGAAAATCAGCTGATTCATTCTTTCTCTCTTTTTTCATAGTATTTTACTCTGGACCCCCCATGCCAGGCCCCATCTCTGTCTGCAGTTTGCCGTGTGGCAGAACAGAAGAGCTGGGAAGGCTTCAGTCCATCACAGTTGCTCTCTCCCTTGGAGGCACAGCATTTGGGCACCCAGGAGCTGAATCGCAGACTGGCCTGGTCCTACTGCACACTCTCAGCAGGAAGTTTCCAGCCCAGACTGGTAAGTGCCTGTGCCTTGAGAGTTACCAAATCTCCCCCTGCCTTCCAGCACCCTGTCTAGTGCATGCCTGTCCTTCCTATTCAGAAATGACACCGCTTTTCTCACTGAGATGTGTTGAAAGCAGGCTGAATTTCAGCTACCACTCCACACACTTTGTATTTATGGCTTTCAAAGATGGGAATTTTTTGATGGTGATTGCGGCTTCCTTTCTGCTGTAGATACTACTGGGTGTGCTGAGGGTCTCCTCCAGGAGCAGTTCCCTCCAGCTGCAGGACAAGAGCAGCACACTTCCCTGTGTGATATCCCAGAAGGATGGTAGTCCCTTTGCCAATACAGCTCTCATAGGTATGTCCCACTAAACTATATTTGAGTGCTGAGCTTTTGCTCTTCTGCCACCCAGCTCCAAAACAAGGAAGAGACTTGATATGGAGATGCTGAACTGTCACTGCCTGACCTCGTGACTTTAAAATGAGGATATTGAGTTTACTGGGTTTATGTTCTCTTTTTATTTAGCTCAGCTCCTTTCTCTGATGTGTTTGCAGGGTCACTCTTGCAGGTGGAGAACTACCAACTTGTAGTGGAGAGATTCCTTCAGGCTGATTTTCCCTCCTGGGAGCACCTGGAAAATCTGGAGCATGTGAGGGAGAAAAAAAACAGGTGAGTCCCTTTATTCAGTATGCAAGTAAAATCATCACTCTCCAGTTCCACAACTGTTTTGGCTCTGTGGTAAAGCTTCTTATCAACATAGCATTTCAGTGCCAAAACAACTGTCCTTTCCTATTTGAAGAAAATGAGCTCTTTATCAGCAACAGAGCCACCATCTATATTTTGTTCAGAATACGCACAGCCTAGTAGCTGGCCTCCACTTCCCTCTTTCCCACAGCTCCTGCTGGGTGCTGTGGGGCACTCCCCAGCCGTGCTTTTCCCAGATAACCATTTGTTTTGGACAGCCACCTCTCCAGGGCAGGGAGTTTCACTGCTACCATTTGTTGTTTCAGTGTCTATGTGCAGTTCTACTTTGAGGACGTTCAGGTTCTCCATGCTGCTGGAGGACGACTCCAGAAAGGCCTTAGGAGTGAAAACCGCTCCTCTTTGAGGAAGAAGAAAGACAGCAGTGTAACACCTGAGCTGGAAGCTCCTGAGGCAAAAGTGCTGAAATTGGAGGATCCCAAGGCAGATACTCACAGAGATGAGAACTGTCAGGAGGGGCAGAGCAGCACTGGAACAACCAGCTGTGTATCTCACCTGTTCTTGGTTACCCAGAAAGAGGGGCTTATGTTACGCAATTACCAACCACCCAGAGAAGATGGAGAAGGACAGGAGCTGCAGCGCAGTTTCCAAGCCACAGTGCTGTGGCTGGGCAGACCTCGGCTGTGGAGCCACCCCAGAGAAATTGGGAACCTACTGGAGCTGGAGGACATCAGTTGTGATGGAGAAGAGGGCATGACACAGCAAGAAGTGAGGCAGCTTTGGGGTGTGGTTTCATAGGTCGGGGAGGGGGTGGCTCCTCAGGGAGCCTGTGTGATAATTGGGTGTCAAGATTACTGATCAATGGGAAAGTGGGTTTTGTGTTGGGTAGAGATCTGAGTTTATGCAGGCAACTTCCTTGTGCCACCCCAAGGAAGTTCCATCTCCTCTTTGTCACCTTCCTGTAAATGCATCTACTTTCTCGTACCCTCAGTTGTGCTAAACTTACTTCTCTATCAAGACATTACCTGGGCTGGGCTTGCTCTCTTCTTACTGTATTTTTCATTTTGTGCCTTTTTCCTAACACTTCTCATCACCTTCTGTCTCTCCTCCCCTCCCTCACCAGGCACTGCTCCTCTTCATGGGAAAGTCTCTACGATGGTTTCCATTTCTGCACCAGGATGGACTGTATCGCTTCATTGTGCCCTGCTGCTCGGTAAGAGAGACGTCTTACTGTTTCCTCTTGGAGACTTGCTGAACTGCATTGTGGGAGTCGAGGAATTAGAGGGTGACTAAGCTGTTTTTGAGGCTTGGAATTTCCATTTGTTTGCCAAGAAACTGCTTCAGTTCTGTGTTTGATTAAAATTCTCAGAGCTCTGAGTACTGTGGATTTTTTTTTGTTGTTCTTTAAACCATTATTCTTCCACTTTTTCCCTAAAAAACTTTAACCTCCTTCCTTTAATAGTCATCTTGCCTTATCACTCTTACCTCAGGACTTGGAAGTGTTTGACAAGCTCTGTTTTCCACCTGTACCACCAACGTTCCTGACCAGGCCATCCTGCCCCCTGTGCCTACCTGTCCAAGATACCTGGCACTTACAGCATGAGACCTGGCTCTCCTGTTTGCCTGAACGCCAGGTATGCAGTGCCTTGTTGCTCTGGAATTTCACGGATGGCTTGTAGATCTCTCCAAACCTAGCTAGAAAATTATCAGTACAGAGTATCTTGTTGCTGATCCCATTCTGTTCTAAGCTCCATCAGAGGCTGCTGCTGGGCTTCACATTTTTCTGCCTCAGAATTAATCTGGAGAGGAAGCATGAGTTGCTTGACCGACCTCTAAGCGTGCAGGGCTTGTCTACACTGCTCTGGCTGGGAATACCTGTAAACTGCAATCTATCTAAGGCTGTGTCTCCCTCACTTCTAGCTGGCAGCCAGGATGGCGCTGACAGGCATGGACCAGAGAATTTTCTCCATTCCAGAAGTGCTTAGCAATAGGTATGTTGATCTGCCCCAAATTACAAGTGACTGTCTTAGGGAATGGGTCTGTATTCATTTTTATTGCAAACAGCTTTTCTGTTCAAAGTATGTTTAATCTGGGGTGATATACATGCACACTGGAATTTCCACCAGTGCCTTACAGTAAACTGTTTTTCTTTCCTTGGCTTCTTCCTCTAATAAAGAAAAACAATTAGGAGTTAAGCAGATAGAAAGGCTGTAATGCCTTGCTCTTCTTCACTGCTGAGCCTGAAGAGGCAGAAAGCAAGTTAAAGAGGCCTCTTGTCCCTGGGTGGGATAGACTGTAGCAAGCTGCCCTCATCCACTAGCTCAGGTGCTCAAGAACAGGTTCAAGAACAGGTTCCTCTGAAACTGGGCTCAAGCAACAGCACTTCACCCAGTCCTTTTTGGCAATCTTCAAGTCAGGCCATCCTCCACTACTTCTGTCTTCAGGCAGGGCAAAAATCCTGGTCTCTTCTCAGTTTTACAGGTTCCCTTGTTTCTTTCTCTGGTGAGATAGTGGAGAGGACCTTGTGTGCCTCTCCCAAGAATGAAAAGCCATCTGTGACTGTTCGCCTTCCAAGGCAAAAAGGTAAGGTTGTGACAGCTTGTCCAGTTGCAACAGATTGATTTTTGTTTTTTTTTGTTTCAGAGGGGTGGTGCACTTGGCTAACTGTACTGCTGTATCTGAGAATAGTGGAAGTATGCCAGGATGTTGCATCCTATTGCATATCAGAGGGCTAGGAAACACACACAAATTGCATGTATGGGGATGGGAATGCTGTACCTGGAAAACCTGTGAGGTGCAACACTGTGATAGGAGGAAAAACATTTCTAGCAGGTCCAGCTCAGTGACAGCGTGTGCTGCCTGTGTGTGAGTGAGGTCACGGGGTGTGTGGTTCTGTGCCTCCCCAGGGAACCTGCTAACCAGTGATCACAGTGTGAAGCTCAGCGTCGCAGTTGCTTCAGGCTCCCCTGTTGTGATGGACGTTTACATTACTGCCACCTATCTGCAGCATCTCTGGGGTTTGCTACCTGGAGCCAAGATCCTCTTCCAGAACTTGGAACGCAAAATCTCAAGGTATCCCTGTCTTTAGAGCCCTGATCTAGGCTCTGAGCTCTCTTATTGTCTTTTAAACCATCTCTTAAGCTCTCCTCTCCTGTGGACTTTCCTCATCCCTTGTCCATACCTTCATGTCTCCCAGTCCCTTACTACAAATTGTTTTCCTACCATGTTACAAATGAAGATCAGCCTACTTATCCCGAGAAAACTGAACATTTAGTTTCTATAAACTCTTTTTGACATCTACTCTTTCATATTGCAGATTTCATAATGTTTATTGCACATACATTGCCTGCAGCTGTGTGAGCATCATATCTCTGCCAGCTTCTCACCTACTGTTTTCTTCCAGGTAACTTCAGGGTCTATTCTCACTTTACAGTGTCCTAAGAAAAGTTTCTATGTTCTAAGCTTCTCAAATTCCTATTTCTTCTAGTCCTGCCGGAGAAGCCTCATGCCCCTCACTAGTGTTCCTGTCCAACTTACGACCTCACCTGCAAAACCAACCCCGGGCACGGATTTTATGCCACTTGTCCTGTGTACTGGCTGTGTACCTGCAGTGGGTTTGCTCACTTTGCAGCAGCATTTTCAAGGAGGTATTCAAGCTTCCACAGAGATAATTTGTGAGAGGTCTTGCAGATTTTCTACTCTGACACATCCTTTGCTACCGTGTTGAAGAAATAAGAGTTCCTATCCCCATTCCAACCCCTCTTTTCCCAGTGCCTAAGAAGGACTTGCATATTAGAAGGGGACCAAAGTGATAATGGATTAGAAGTACATATCTAATGCCAAGCAGGCTGGCAGGTAGAACTGAGGGTGAATTGAGCACATGGAAGAGGAGAATCCTACTCTGTTAATGCCCTGCTCTTCCCATATTCACTGCTGTTGGGCTTCAGCACCTCATAGCAGGTGATTTTTCTCCCCATATAAACTTTTCCCAAGACACTCATTGGAAATGCGGTACAATTCTTTAATTCTTTGCATACTTAATTAGGAAAGGGTTTTTAAAAAAGCAGTGTCCCTTCCCCTTCTCTCTTATACCCACCCGTACGTAGCTGTAGCTTTATTCTTCCTTCAGGGGAGGTGCACCCGACACAATCCACCATGTCCATCACACACAGGAGTGAGACAAGCCAGTGCACGGTAAGCACTGTAGAGATTGGGCCTGGGAAGAGGTGGGAAGGAGGGAGCAAATTGCACCACAAAAGGAAGGAGGAAAATCAGACCAAGGATGGAATGTAGATAGAATAGCAAAGATAGAGGTGTCACGTCTTCTGAGGTGTGAACAAACCTGCCTCTCTCTTTACTGAGGTCTGTTGTCTGGGGCATAACCCTTGTGAGGGAGCCCGACATTGTCCTGACCTTCCTCTGCATCTCACCGTGCCTGCTCTCTCCACAGGGTGCTGGTGGAGGATGGAACGGGTGAAGCTGTGGTGCTGTGCAGGAACGAACACGTGGCAGCAATGCTGGGCCTGAGCCTTCCCGAGTGGGAAGCTCTGCAGAACTGTGTGCGGAGCAGGGGCAGCGTGTCCATTCAGCATGGGGAGGCTACTGGCACGGGGGTGAGTGAGTTATTCCAGTAGCGACTGCACCCTTTGCTTATGCATGTTCCAGAGGCTCCCTGCCTCACCCTGAACACTCTCTGGCAACACACCCTTTCCTTCCTTAGTGTCTAGAGGAACCTGAGGATCTTGTTGCTTGCTACCTAAGGAGTCTGTGCAGAAGTCCTCTCATCTGTCGCCCTATCCTGCTGGATTTCAGCCTAGACAGGAAGCCCTCCAAGATCCTGCAGCCTGGTAAGCAAGAACTGCTGGCTTTTCTAATATTTAGTGTGGAAAGGAAGGGTGGAGACATCTCACCAGGCTGGGAAAGGAGAGGTACCTTCACTGCGCACAAGGCAAGGTCTCTGAAGGATTTCCATGGAATTGTGAATTCTGTAGTGCAGAGCTAAGATGTGTCTTAGCAGATCCAGGCTTATAAATATACAGAAATAATATTACAAAAATCACCATCTAAAACAATATATATGAATTTTTCTACTTTACACAGAAACATAGAGCTGTTTTAGAACAAGGTTCACAGTTCTTGGATGGATCAGGAATCTGGTTGCCAGAGTTACTGTGCAGACCTCTCAAATCAAGTGTTAGACTTTAGACAGGACAGCATGTAGAGTCAAGAGTAGGCCTGGAAATCCTCACCATGGGCACAGTATTTAAAGCACTGAAGTGTTTTAAATTCATGGGCACTGAGATCTGAGCTCATGCTGTCACAAATGTGCTGTTCTGTGTTAAGGGGACATTCTTTGTAGTTGTTTGCACCAATACTAGTGCTTGAAATGATTCCAGGTACTGCAGGGGTTTATTTGCTAAGCTCATCAGAGGATGCCCTGCTGTGGAGACATTATTTTTGGCTTTTGTGTACCCTATCAGGCCAGGTTGCTGACACTGATAGGAGATACAAAGCTCATAGCATCAGCTCTGTGAGCAGCTCATAGTTCACAGCATTTCATGCTGTACAATGTCTGTTTCCTCCAAGTTGGAGGGATCCTGGCCAAAAGCATTAATCTGCCTGCATCCCGGATTCATTAACTGTGCTGTCCTTTGAGATTTAGGAAATGCCAAGCAGCTGCTGCAAGGCCTTACCTTCCCCAGCAACTTCTACAGCCACGTGTTAGAACAGAGCCACAGCCCTGTACTGAGTTGTTACTGGTTGTACCTTTCCCCTTCAGCTCCACCGCAGCTGAGAAATTTTCGGTGTGGTGAAGTGGAGTTCGTGTCACAAGTGGGACCTCGTCTGAGCCTGCTTTGCCTGAATGTGGAAGAAGTGGAACAAGATGCCTTAAGCTATCTGAACAGTGAGAGGATTAGGAGGACATCAAGTTACTGCTGAGTGAGAGACACTGTTTAACGTCTCTCCCACTGGGAGAAGAATTATGGAAATACGTGCTGGGATTGGAAGCTTTTCTTATCTCCTTTCCAGTGGGAGCACAGGCCTGTAAGCACAGGGTGAGGGGCGCAATCAGGAAAGTGCTGTGACTTGCAGAATTCCTGAATGGTCCTTCTGGACCGTTGTCCACCACTGCTACTGGGCTACGTTTTGGAAGAGAGATGTTCAATGCTTCCTAGGTGATCGCCGTTGCCTTGGGCCTTGGGCACACAATGTGTGTATTTTATATGGTAGTATCTACTAAATAAAGCTATTAAAATACTATTTCAAAAACACTGTGTCTATTTTAGTATTAAGGTTTACTTGCTGGATGGGGAATGAGCCAGAACATCGATCCTTGATTTATGAGCCAGAGACAGGCATTTTGTAGATAGCAAAACTATACAGCTGCCACAAGTTATGGTCTTCTTAACCTAATTGAAATTATTAAAATTACACTTCTGAAGTATTTCCTTCAAGAAGAGAAGGGAAGTGAATCAGTTACTGTATGGAGACCAAATCATGGTACTAAATCACAAGATTATTTGGATGTGGCAGCTTAAACAGCAGCCTGAACATTACATGGGGCTGGTAAGAAGAGGCAGGCAGTGGGCTGTGATACAGGCTCACAGCATACCCCAGGCTTGCCCATCTATTCCTAATCAGGAAGGAGTTGCCATGGCAGTGCCAGTATCCATGGTGGCATGGCAGAGTAGCCAATACGACATATAGGACATCACCACCTGAAGAGATTACTCTCCCTTCCGCTTGCATTGATGACTGAGTGTTCTGCACTCGCTTTTGGCAAAATAGCACCCACATCCTTCATCTTGTTCTCCAGGCTAGTAAATTCCACGTGCCGTTACTTCCCTGCCTTAACTCAATGTGCAGTACTGACAGCACGTTTGAGCAGCTACTGTCTGGGGTTTTGTTTACTCAGTGTTTCCCATCTGCCTTTCTCTCTTTCCTCTTAGTTTGAGCTACGTATTAAATGTTAGGCAGTGGGTTTATTGGGCGTGTGTAAAGTATCTTCCCTCTCAAAGCCTGCTGTCCACTTCTGAGACCAAGGCATGAGTGACACAAGACCTGACTGTGTCACTGACCATGCAATAAAGTTCTGAGACGCCATCCTGAAAGAGGTCTATGTAAGTTTTGCTGTGACAGCCTTATTTTCTGTAGGTGCTTTCTGCAAAACAGTAAAGACTTTGCTAAAGCTTACCTACCACCCTCCAGAAACAAAACAAAACAAAAAAAACCCCACAAAAATAAACTATCTCAGCCTGAGGAAAAGTCTGACTGTAAGTGATGGAAGATGAAGAGATCAAAATCTGATTAAAAAGTGCAACTGAAAATAATATGTTTAACAGAGAGTTTAACAGGCAGTTCTACAGAAATAGATAAGAAGTGTCAGGTAACGCTTATTTATAGAGCCTAATTTTCCTTTTTTTTGGATTTTTAGTTATATCTATGTTGAATAACTTTGCACCTGAATTTGAACTTTCTGGTAGTATCTTACAAGTCTACTTCTCCTCATTCTGTATGCTGGTCTGCTGTCTGCTGCCACACTGAGGACTCACCTTCCTCTTTTATTTCGCATTACAAATACAATCATCAGTCCTCATCAGCACTTCGGATGTGGTTTGCCTTTGCCAGGTTATTCCAAGCCTGTTAACAGTTTTCTAACCCATCGCTGTTTTGCCATTCACAACATCTTTTTCGGAAGAGGAGTTTGATTATAGTATTCCGAGAAGACTGAGGAGATTAACTGGCTCTCTTGTTTACAGTTTTATTAGTACAGTCAGAGAACCACAAGCCGATCAGATCTGTTTGGGGGCAATTAAGATTTGCTTGTTTTTAGTAGTCAGAAGGAACAGTTCTCAGATGTATTACAGGAAACCCTTTTCCTGTTTGTCTCTGAGCTTCTGCTCATGATCAGAGTTCTGGTCACTGGGTTACTTCAGACCAGAGAACATACCTTGTTCCTGCAATCAGAGCTCTTCCTTCATACAATTCTCCTTATCGCATTCCTCACTCTCTTTCTGGAGCCAAACAAAGTATCCTGTTGTTGGTGGGTAAGAAATAATAATTCAAGAGAAACCATCTGATTTTATATTTGTGCTAGTACATGCTCTGGAACTGGGAGAAGCCAATAAAGTTCTCAGCCCAAGAGGGAGCAAAGTCTGAAGTGTGTCCTGCTGTCAGTGTAGCTGGAATAACTACTCAGTGTGGAAAGACAGAGACGTTCCTTTTAGCTGGTTTTCTTTAGCTGTCCACGAGTTCACCCCTAGAGCCTACCACCCAAAGCCAAAGCTGATGAATACTAAAGGCAGTTTTCCTGTGCTTTGGCTGTCTACAACCCTCCTTATTCCAGGTCTGTGTGGGATTGCTAAGGCTGGCAGCGCTTTCTAGCCTTGTTCAGGGCATCTGTAGTAGGTGCTATTTGCTGAAGACACTGCACTCTACAATGGAGGTGTCTGAGTAAAGTGGGTGCAAGCAAGGCAAGAACCAGAGAGGGGAAGGACATGTCCTCCTATTCTGTAACCAAACTCAGCAAGAGGGTCTATATGCATGTCAAGCGTGTATACTTATGAGTTTCCCTTTCCAAACTTACCTCCAGACCCAGTAGAGTTTCTGATTGTTTTGTAGAGACGTTATATCGACAGCAGGTACAGGGGAAGCAGAAGCATCCAGTGACAGGCTGAAAAGGAGGATGACACTGACTCTGCATTCAGGTTCACCAGCTGCAAGTTAGTCCCCCTTGTAATGCTGAAATCTGTAGCAGAAGAATAGTGAGAGGCTACCAGAATGGGAACACAGCAGGAAAGGAAAAATGAGTGTGTATATTTATTCCTTCCTATTTTTCTGAACATTGATAAAGGTAGACCCCGCCTCTTGTACTGGAGACTCATTGCAGTGAAGCCCTCACTGTAGAAGAGCTATGACCCTTCTCATGTAGAACAGGAGAAGATAGGCTCTTTGGAAAGTTTGATTTTCTGCGAATAAAGTGGCCTCTTAAATAAAGGGATGGGGCTGGAATCAGGGAGGTTGTCATTAATAATACCTAAAGGGGCCTGCTGGTTTGGTACAGAAGCAGGATCTAAGCTGAACTGGCCGAAGACAGTGTCAAAAGTTGGGGGTTTTGGTTGGTTTGGTTAACAGTCAAAGGAATATGTTCTTTTGAAGTTTATCTTTTCTGGTTCCCTGGCAGTTCTGTCCCTGTGCCAAGGGAGCAGTCATTACCCTGGAAAAACATAAGAAATAGCAGGACCAAACACAGACCCTTTGCTTCATCCCAGGGGACAGAGAGAGAGAGAACTAAAGAGAGGTGCTCGGATTAGCCATGCTTTCAGTCCTTCCTTGACTGACACAGGTGCTGCAGGAACCCCCAGTTCACATGGGCACTGTTTAAACTCTCTTCTTCCCCCCACACCTGTGGTCTCTGGATGGTGTCAAACTCTACCTGTCACTTTGATGTTGCCTGTAGCCTTGGCAATGTTGTTTTCAATCACACAGGTGTAGGTGGCATTAGCAGTAACATTGTGCAGGAAGGAAACCACTTTCAGAGTGACGTTTTCAGCGTTCAGCTCGTAGCTGGTGTTGGCAGTGTGAGGGACGTGCTCCCCGGCGCTGCTGTCGACCATCCAGTGCACGGTAGGTCGAGGGAACCAGCGCGGTGCTTCACACTGCAGCGTGTCCCCACTGCTGCTGTTCTCTATGTGCACCTCAGGGATGCTGAAGGCTTTGGGAGGGAAAACAGGAAGAGTCACTACAAGGCAAGTGTGTAGGAACTGGGCATGAGACACCCAACTGTGTCTGCCAGTCCTGGGGATTCCTGGCTACTTGCTGCTTAGCATTGCATCACCACAGGTAGCCAAACTGAAAACAGGGGCTCAGACAGATTGGGCTACAGGAGGGTGACTATGGGGGAGCTAAAGGATCCTAAGACACAGCAGTCCCGTTTGATAGGATCTACTGAGGGCGTGGCACAGCTTTAATGTCTTTAAGTCATTCTGCTTGATTTACAAGTTCACCCTCAGGGGTGCCAGCCAGTCAGAGAAACACTAAGAACACCTACCTGAGCAAGCTCACATTATCCCCATTGTGTAACTCACCACAAGTTCATCAGGAAGGCCCAGAGATGACAGAAATAGGTGAAACGCTGACATGTTCGGTGGGAGTGTATTGCTTTGTGCCAGCAGTGAATATGATGGTCAAGCCCAGAGGGTTCAGAAGAATTAAGCACCCATTAGTGAAAATTCATCTGTGTCTGTGTGAGCTTTGAGGCTGACTCATAACAAGGTGAACAATTAAGTAACTCTGCCAAATATATTATACTTCAGATAACGATGATATGGGAGGTTTGTTGTTTTGATAGTAATTTAGAAAAACCTGAACGCTTAAGAAAAACAAAGAAAAATACATTAAATAGGCTACAATTTTTAATATGCAGCACTTCTCCTGGCTGGTGATATATCTTAATTGCAGAGAGGAAAACCTACCATGTTATGTTCAACAAGTATAAAATCTGGATCTTTATGAGATCAATTAGCTACTGCCATTTTTAGGGTGTTATTTGTAGTCAGTTACATAGCTGGTAGATTACATGTGATTAATAGGAGAAAAAAGCATTAAAATAATAATCTTTTCTGGAATGAGGATGTGAAAAGAGTGGGTAAACAGCTCTGTAAAATAAAACAATTTTAAAAAGTACCCTGTTCCTACTCAGGGGGAGAGGGCCTGGTGATGGCTGCTGGAGGAGCGGTGCTGTTCATACGACAGCAGGTAGGTCCAACTGAGCCACATCAGCGTGTATTTTGCAGCAGGATTTTCTTCCTTGCACCCCTCACCTCCTGTCCTGTACTGCAGCACTGCTGCCCCGCTCCCTCTGGCTGTGGTGACAGAGCACTGGTAGATGCCAGCATCGGAGAGCTGCACATCCCTCAGCTCCAGGGAAGCGTTGCCGCCAATCACCTGGTCCGCAAACATTGCCGTGCGGCCCTGAAACAACGGATCTTGCTCTTGCAGGTGATCCTTCCCGCCCCTGAACTCGTGAACCAGCCCAGCTACTCCTGCCTTGGCCCAGCGGATCACTATGCTGCGCATTTGGATATCAGGCTCAAAAGTGCAGTCCAGGATGCTGCTCTGGCCGATGTTCCCTGGAGACGTCAGTGCCATCACACTGATGGAGTGTTTTCCTGCAAGGAGAAAGCAAGTGGGCATGACAAGGGTGAGGCAGGGAGTGTGAAGAAACACCAGGCTGCCCTGCAGCTGTCAGGAACCAATCCTGAGGTTGGACAGGCACTGACACATGGCAAGGACACGGGCAGCAGCTACCAGTGCTGCTAGCAGAGGTCAACTCCCGTGGTTTATATACCAAGTTAAAGCACAGGAGTGTTTCTTTAGCAGGGAGCTTGCTTCAAAAAGTAGCCTCTCATATTTGTTTGAGAAGAACTTGCATGATATTGTCTCGCTTACTTATATGTATCAAGGATTTTTCTCTTTTCCCCTGCCAGAAGAGCACGATCTTTATATCTTGTCTTAGGCAACACGTCCCTTTATACAATATAAATGTGATTGTAAGGTATTATGCTGGCAGAGAAATAACAGGCTGCTCTTTCCCCCCTAGCGGAATCCAAACAATTTTCTTTCATTTAAGAAAAAGTCAGCAATGCCCCTCAAGTCAAATCTTAAGCCGCGATCTTGAGAATTAACTCCTTCACAGAGCCAGGCGGTCTTTCCCATGCATCCCTTCCCTACTCATCCTCCCTCAGCACACTCCAAGGAGGCTGCATTTTGGCCAATACTGAAACAACACATCTTTGTTATCTCTGAGGGAGTTGGGGAATGTGCCTCATCCTGGCAGATGCTGCAATAAATAGTCATCTCCTCCTACCTGGGAGAAAGAGCACAAAACGTGCCGGACTTTCTGTGTGTGTTGGTTTGGGGCCCCAAGCCCAAAGATATTTTAGTTAATGCACCACTACACCTCCAGCAGCACAGGCAGCATTACACTTATCTACTCTTCATTAAAAGGTCGTAGGTGGTACTTCCACACACAACCACAGCCCATGCACAGGATGGACACACAGATGCAGAGGCAGGGAAGAAGTTCATCACCCCACCAGTAACAGCAAGAAATCTGAGCAGTCACATACCTGAGACACCAAAACCAATGATCAGGGCAATCACCACGGCCAGGATGATAATGACTGCAGTCATGCTGTTTGGGGAAAAAGGAAAGGACAGCATTATTGCACAGCCCATCGCCTCCACACCCTGTGCCTGAGGTGCCCATCTGCAGAGCCGCCGGCAGGAAGGAGGCTGAGGCAGGTAAGCCACAGACCTAGAGCCAGGTGGACAGGGAAGCACAGGACCACAGTAGCGATGAACATCCAGGTGAGCACTCGGCATCAAAGCAGGGGGACCAGGTGGTGGGAAGAGCCCCAGGTTTTGCCTTAGAGCAGACAGGTGGTCTCCCAATGGAGAATGCTCCACTCTGAGCCCCCTGGTGCGTAAGTAAGACAGGCAGTCCCCACTGGTACTTACAAGGGAACAGTGACTCAGGGAGGTGAACAGAGCAAACAGGCCACTGACCCCAGGAGACACCAGCTACAAGTCAGGGAGTGGGCAGAGAGGGCTGGAAATGGGAACAGTTGTTTAAACTGGCCGGATTTGGGATGCTTCACGTGCACGTGGATAATGGGCTGTTAAACGAGAGACTGAAGAGGAGAGGACCACTTGCCAAGCCACACAGGAAGAGCAGCCATGCCGGAGATGAAAGGCATCAAGTCATGGTGCAGCACAGTTTGAGCCTTGCCAAGAGCAACCCATCCAGCACAGCCCCTGCTTAGACAGACCGATCAGCTTGGCCAGGTGCAGGCTCCCACTGCAGCCAGTGGAGCTCTCACATGTGGTCATGGGCACATTTTCACGTGGACTGAGCGGAGCAACCTCAGCTCCCCACAAGAGCAAGCCCTGAAGCAGCTCCCCACAAAACCCACAGGTACATCGTGGGAAATGCAGCTCACATGCTCATTCCCAATAGTCTCATAGAGACTGCTCACAGAGCAGAAGCCCAGAGAGCTGCAGGAGGTCCTCACAGGACACTTTACCCATTCTCAAGTCTGAAAGGGCACTGGAGGAAACAGTGCGAAAGGCATGGGCACCAAGAGTTGCCACTCCACACTACTGTCCAGGGCTGCCACCCCAGGGCTTGTTTTGCCCCGCTGTACACAGAAACTCTTGAGCTGCTGCTTCCTATCTTGTCCCCAGACAGAACCAGGCTGAGAAAGGTCATGGTCCTTCTGCCAACACAGAAACAGCTGCTCTGCTTCAGCAGCATTTGCTGGCTTGCAGCAGACTCTTTCCCAATACACGGAGCAGCCTCCCACCGGAGAGCCCAGCAGTGTCCATACAAGCACAAACTCCTCCCACCATTTCTGTGTGCCTGCATCAGTCGCTTGCACAATCGAGCCTTATTTGCCTCAGGTGCTACGATCATAGGGCTGATATGGAGCTCTAGGGAGCTGCACCGTGTGAACAAACCTCTCTTGCAGGGAACAGCAGGGAAGGGAGAAAGGGAATATGGGTTGAAAGAGAGCACAGAGTGTTTCGAAGGCATGGAAACAAACTGATGCAGATGACTGGGGCTGCACAAGTTGGAGCCCTGACACCACCCTCAGTTCCCAGTGCTGTTTCAGCAGCCTCTGGGATGCTGCTCTGTGTATCCTGCCCTTTTTTCCATGTCCTGTTCCCAATCAGCCAAAACTGGAATCAAATTGGAATCAAATTTGACATCAAGTTCATTCATTCCCTGCTTGAATGCTGCTGAGCACAGCCTGGGGACAGGGAGAGGCTCACAGCCTTGCTGTGACAGGCAGTCTTAATCTTCCAGATCTCTAGCTCTGCTGGGAGTAAACTTTCCCTCGGGAATGGGCTTAGATGGTAAAAAAAAAAAATGGAAAAATAAAAGGTTGAAGGTCCCCTGCCTTCCTTCTTTTATCAAAGTTTACCGTGGAAAAGAAAGAGCATGGCACAGATGACCCAAAGAAGTGGGGTTTCCATTCCAATATGCAGCTAATGATTGCAGAACCCAACTTTTTTCAACCCTTTAGTTTTATTTCTTTGGTGAGGTTTTTTTGTGCACATACTATTACTGTTTAATTCTTCCCTGATGCCTTGTGTGAAAAAGCTCATGCGTGAGAGGTCTCTTCTGTTCATGTGCGGACTGTCCTTCTCCCCACTGCTATTCAGCTCAGGTGTTATGGATATCCATAACAGCTGAAACATTTTTCACGCAATAAATGCTATCAGGGCTGTCTCACATACTTCACTGGAGCCCCCATCTCCATTCAGTCTGGAAAACCCACCCCTGGGATGAAAAGGTGCAGCTTGTTGGTGCCTCTGTTAAAGCACAGGTGAGGTTTGGATGCAAACTCAGTCCACATTCACTGGAGACTGAAACAAGTTTGCCACTTTACCCATATGGTGAGAGTTATTTTCAACTAATCAGGAGATAAGGATATGAGATAGATATTTCTATGACTTTCACCACAATACATCTTTTTCTGACTGTAGTTCATCAGGACTCGGTTAACAGTTCAAAGGAAATGGGTTCACTGAAACAAGAGGCACAAACCAGTTTGAACATCTTCCCAGCTCTTACTCCTGACCCACACTGCATGGAAATTTGTGCAGGACAGCTTCTTTCTCCCCACAGCATGCTGATGTGATGGCAACATAAGCAACTCTCTGAGGACCAGGAGAAGGAATGGGGTGCTTTCTTCAACCCCAACCCACAGCAGCAGGAACACAGCCTTTCTTGATCCACTGATACCCTAACATACCACAGCATTCACTCCTGAGGTAGCAAATTCTAGCAAATGCACAGTTTCTAGGACATGCATTCTGGCTACAGCTGATGACCTGCACATGGGTGTCTGATGGATACGTGGCCTTGCAGATTGTATGAAAGAAGCTATACAGGTATTTAAGTGAGTGCAGTATAGTCAAACTACAAAGAATTGGTCTTGAAGGCTCCTGGCAGCAGGGTGATACATCCAAAGAGTCTGAAAAATGCAATTCCCTCCCTCCCCTCTCCCAGAGCAGGTGCAGATAATACCATACCTCCAGAAGAGGCCTTGGGATGCCATGGTCACGGCATTCACGAAGAGAAGACAAACACCTGGCGTCCACTGGTCCCACGCTGTTCAGTCAGCCCCTGTCCTTTGCATGATATATTCCCCAAAGCTGTCCTGCTTAAATAACTGAACTCAGATAAGGAGTGGTGAGCCCAAGCAGTGAACTCTCAGGAATGAGGAAGCAGTGAACATCTTGACTTGCCCCAGCAGAGCAGTCAAAAGCAGGGAGGCCTGGTAAGATACTGGGGCAACTAGGAGACCTCCTACACCTTGCATTTAAGAAACACGTCTTATTTATGACAAAAAATAGCACAGCTCGTGGTTTGGTAGCCAGCTAATCCTGGGCCCAAAGTGCAGAAGTCTCTCAAGTAGATCCACAGTTTTACCCATCACTAGTCATGTCATACTCAGGACTAGCTCAGATCTCCTCACAAAAATCTCCAATCATGCTCTTGGCACTGGGCAGAGAGTCCCTACCTGCCTTCCTGGTCGCCCTCCTGGCCCCAGTCACAATGCACATCTTCCCCTGCCTCTCCATGCTGTGCCAAGGAGCTCCTCTGGGCTCAGCAGTGCTGTCAGAGCCACACAGGTTTGGCAGTGACCCCTTTTCTTACTGCTGTTTAATTCCACGTTGAACTCCTTCAAGCCAAACTACTTCTCCTCCCCAAGGCCATCTCCTGCTGCTCTCAGGTCTGCCATTATGGTGCACATCAGAGCATGCAAAGGAAAGAAACTGGGCCCTGCAAGACCCTGCAAGTCTTTCCCTCTGGGCTTGGTCTCACACAAGACTGGGGGCAAGATAAGTGGCTCTTGGGCATGAGAGGTTGAGAAGGACAGAAAGAGCAGAAAAGGGAAGGCAGCCTGCACTCCGTGTTCAGCTTCCTGAAAGGAACCTGTTTATCCTGTCATCTACGTCTGGACTGTATTACAGGGAGGATGGTAAAAGGAGAATTTTTGACAGTCCATAGCTATTTCCAGCAAGTTTGGATGGTTAGAGTGAACAGCTTTTCCATGCAAAGCTGAGGATGCCCAGAGGAAGTGGGAGAAGTCCAGCAACTAAAAAAAACCAAACTACTTTCTTTGCAACAGAGGTTAAAGTCAAGATCAACCAATATTGGTCTACGATGATAATCTAGAAAAAAAAAAAAATCCTCATTTATTTTTCAGTGTTCTACTGATTACTAAACCTCTCACAATTTAGCAGAACAGTACTAGAAGCTAAAACAGCTCCAGGCCACAGTGCACATTAAGAAATATCCTGTTGCCCTCGGTGACACCTGATTTACAGCTGCCTGTGGTGCAGTGCAGACAAGGTGTCCCCTTTCAGCACCAGTTAACCCCAGGTCACAGCCACAGCACACCTCATGTACAGTCAACAATCAAGTTACTTCCATGTTGGAAAACACACGACTGCTCTCTGGCACAGGCAGCCCTGGTAGGACCAGGGCAAGTCCCATTCACCAGAGCAACACCACACTAATTTCTCAGCAGCTCTCATGATGGACCTACTCGGTATGTTCACACTGCAAAAAAAAAAAAAAATCCAAGAGGTGTTTAGGATATTTCCCAAAGAAATCAGGGATCTGTGACCACACAATCTGCCCAGCTTTTACCACTTTTGAATTTATTAGCAAAATCCGAACAAATGTGACAGAAGGATCTGGTCCCACATGGTCTGTGAAAACAGGCAAACACTTGAGGAAAAGACACATCAGCTACTTTCACTGAGGAGAAGGCAACAGCAGGCACAAAGAGTTACCAGCTTTGCTGGGTGCCTGCAGTTGGTCACAGCACAGTCCTGTCTCTTGCCAGCATGAGGGAACAGTGTGGGCAGGAAGGACCGGGGTCAGGGCCCAAGAAGATGTTCAGTGGTCTGGAGGAGGTATGGGCCCAAGGATCAGACTGCAGTCACTCTGTCCCTCACAATACAACTTGCTTCTTTCTTCACAAATAATAATTCTGTCAGAAGGGTTCCCCCGAATAAGTTCACAACTTATTCGAGTGTCACTGGGTTGCTGCAGGAGCTATCAGTGAAGGAGAAAAAACAGAAGATAGAGTTGTGGCAAGCTGACCAGCAGCCAAGTTTGACAGAGCATTCAAGAGTGGTGAGGGCAGCCAGAGCACTGGAAACGATGAAAGCTGTTCTTGGGATTTGCCAAAAAAATTGAACACGTTTCCAGCCTTGTGATCCTACATCTGTAACAATGATGTCAAGTGATTGAGAAGCACCAGAAATGGGAACATTAGTGGTCTGGAAGGAGGAGAGTTTGACACTACTTTATCAGCTCTACCTGTCCTCAGCCTCACCTACCCCTGAGGGGAAGCTGGAAGCAGCAGCACTCAGAGCAAGCTCTCATCTCTCAAAACAGGGAGGTGCTGAGCCACCCTTGTCTGGAAATATATGAAGTTCTCTACACTGCCTGTGATCTGTCCTGACATGGCACTCCAAACAGTAAGTCTACCCTTATGAATCACCTCCTGCTATGGGAACGTCAAGAAACCCGTCTGAGCCAGATTCTGCTCTGCTCCTGAGATCTTCTGGGACAAACTACACATTGTGGCAAAGAGCTACAAGTGCGGCCATGTCACCGGTATGGTTTGCCTCTCTGAGAAGGGAGAGATACCTCAGCATGATACTTGACTGTGGAGGCACCCTACATGGAGTCTTTCAGGCTGCTGACATCCTTCCAGGTTTTCCCCAGTCTTTTTTCTTGTTCTTTTTATTTCCAGCTACACTCTGTTTTCCCTATTGAGGGAGTAAATCCCCCTTTTCTTGACTCCCAAAGCCCCTCTTTATGTTCATCCCTTTTTTTTTTCCCAAATTTTAGAGACAGGCAATTTTATCAGCAAGAACTTTTGTCCTGGAAAAAATATCAATATCTACCAGTGCAGTTCTGTCAGCACTGCATATATGTCTGTCTTGAAAATATCCGTTATCTCAGGGACCAGCGGGTCAGAAAAAACATAATACAGCCCAGCAGACTGACTACATCTCCTAGTCTATCGCCTGCCCCAGGCTATTCACCAACAGAGCACTGGAAGCCCATCTTGGGCTGTTGGGGTCCAGTGTCAAACTCCAGCAGATCAGCAGGATATATTCATTTGCAAGGTATTCTGAATTATGAAGATTGAGGGGAAAGACTCATTGCAAACAATGGGAGGACACTCACACCTAAACCCCCTAAAAGGTCATTAAATGTCTTTTCTGAACATAATTCATCAAGATATCCTCGTGCACAGCCCTGTTTGCCCAAATACACAGTGATAGCCAGTCAATCCTTTATAATCTCTGGGACTGACTGAGCTTTCAAGTTTAACAAAAAGAAAAAAAATCAGTACCAGGGCCTGACCCTGGCAGGATTAGTACCCTATGCTGTCCAAAACCTGCCCTCCCCACGTCAAATGTAGAGCTGCAGTTCCCTGAAGGGTTTATATGGTCATTGGTGTAATTCTCACAAACAGCTTCTTGGAAAATGCCAGCGACAGGGTGTGTAAGGGATACCTAACACGAAGAGAAAACACATTCCTCTGTCTGAGAGGACTATGATGGTTTCAGACAGAAATTATGTGCCTAAAAGGTGGTGCTGTCCTTACGTGTTCCCTCTCCAGCACAGCAAGGAAGCTCTGAGAAAAAACAATGCACATATGGGGGGTGGGGAGAAAGAAATAGAGACACAGAAAATGAGGCATTTTAGTTTACATCACTTTCTGTACAGAGCACTGACTCTGCACATAGCTGTTTGTCCCATTAAGGGTTAACTCAAACTAAACTTTCACTTTGAAATTTCAGAGTCAGCAACTTGGGAAGAATTAAATTGCCTAACTTGGATATTTAAACTGCTTAACCTTCCCTGATTGTTTGACAGCCCTTTCTGGATGATTAGTGGAAAGCTATAAAAAGGATTTGCATAAGGATATCTATCTCCTTTGCTGGGAAGAAGTTCCAAAACTGGCTTTGTAAGAGGATCAACAACAAATAAGAGACTTCTAAGGTTGAATAAGTAAACAGAAAACACAGACTTCTTCTATTTACAAGCCAGCTATCGTAATCCAGAAAGCAAGAACCACTCCTTGCTGTTGACGCTGGAGCAGCATTCCTCTCCCCAGGTGACCAAAAGTCAGACCTTGGTCCTCAGCTCCCTGGGCAGCATTAGGAGCCCTAGCAACACACACCTACTGGCAAGGTTACCCCCAGGGCAGTAGTGTTCCCAGTCTCAATGACACCATTGTGTTTTGTAAAGGAAGGTATTCAGGGTGTCTGCTTCACCCAGACAAGCAGCAGTCATCGATCAGGAGATTAGCAACTGCCCTTCCCACGAAGTTCCTCATCACAGATACCATTTCCCTTCCCCTATGGTAAATGGGACAAGCTATCCTTGTAAATAGAGCCTTGCCAAGGCCCCATAAGCCAAATCCAGTTTTGCTGTATTCCGTCTCCTTATGCTGCTCTTGTCCAGTTGCCTCAGGTCAAGACAGACAACTGCAAACTTGCACCTGTTGTTCCTACTGATGCCCAAACTCCAAGCCAAAGCCCCTGCTGATGCCCCCACATCTTCCCTTGGTGAGCCGGGTACTCTCCTGGCTCCTACATCACTGCCAGCAGCACTATGTCCCTCACCATCTCCATGGAGAACATGCAGACCAGATGACTGATATCTCCTGTTCTTATCAGTGCCATGAGTTTTTCTTGGACTTTTTTCAGATACATAACTAACCCTCCTCGCTCCTACTTTGCAGGGAGGGTATAATGAGACTACAGTTTACCCAGAGAAAGTGTTGAGTTGGAAATGCAAGAGCAGCTCCCAGAAGCATAACTGTGCTCTATGCATACATGCAAGTCTGGAATCATCTAGGGAGGCAGAAGCCATATTCAGGCTGCCAAGCCTTCCCAAGGCATGAAACCCTTTTGAATGTGCCCCAATGAGCAGCTACAGTCTCATCAAGAAGGACAGCTTATACTGTCAATCCTGCAGAATAGGCCACCTCTTGACCCTCCTGTGAGGTAACTGTTCAGGCTGAGTCTCCCC